CCTCTCCGTGAGGGCTCTCAGTGGTCATGGCATCTCTGGAAACACTTTTGCTGGCCCTGTTCCTGATCCCCATTTGTCCCAGTGAGCATAGGTGGGTCCCAGGGACACCTGAGTCTTGCTCTCAGCCACCATGCTACTGATTTGAAGAGAAGGTTAGAGGCAGGATGTGCTCTTGGAAAATCTATCCCACCCCACCCTCTTACCTCTGCTTCCTAGGATATGAAATTGTAGGAAGGTTGATTGGAATGTTGCCTTTCCTGCTCATGGGTCTGTTAATGTGTTGAATGTTTTCCACTTACATACGGCAGACCTAACTGTGTGCTGAGCTGGCATGTTCTGGAACATTTCAGCCACAGGCAGTGGACCACCTCTCCCCTGTGTGGTGCTAGCCGCTGGCTGTGCAGGTTGTTCACCACCTGCACTTCACTCACCTCCTTCTTTTCCCAAAGAGCTTGACATTGGTCACTTGCTTGGAGGTCAACACTACCCTGTTTCCCTGGCGTTTGATGTGCTGGAAACACCATAGTTAATTGTCTTTTTTTTTTTTTTTTTAATAGTTTTAAGTTTTGTTCATGAGAATCATGAACTTGATTTTTGTCCTTTTGTTGGAAATGAGAGGGTTCCAGAGTATACCGTGTGATGTCATCCTCAGAAGCTTTCTGGTCTACACCAGGGCAGCCCAAGACTGTGTATTATCAGCTTAGTTGGGACTAATCCTAGTTTCTCACTCTTGGACTTTTCAAACCTCACTTCAGTAGTTTCACTGGCCTGTGAGAAGTGAACATTGACTCCCACTGTTGGTGCCTTGCAGATTCTTCTGTTTTCCCAGTGTCTGTGTGTCCTTCCTACTGGAAAACCCTCATCTAAGCGAAGGAAGAAGTACCCAGCCTCACACTCTACTTCAGCTTTGCAGTCTGCATGGCTTTGTGGCCATCTCAGAGTTCATCTCTCAAAGCAGGACTTTTCTACGTGAACTAACAATCCTTTTGTATTCCATATTACAGTGTAGGTTAACCTCAGTGCCACATACGGCAGGCACATCAGCTCTTTCGGAAAAGCAAATAACTGGGGGGACGAAAGGTGTAAAAGTGAAGTCAGGTAGAGAAGTTGTGGAGTAATAGCTTTTTTTTTTTTTTTTTTAAGATCTTTATTCGACAGACAGAGAAAACAAGCAAGGGGAGCAGCAGGCAGAGGGAGAAGGAGAAACAGGCTCCCCGTGGAGCAGGGAGCCCGATGGGGGGCTCCATCCCAGGACCCTGGGATCATGACATGAGCCAAAGGCAGATGCTTAATGAACTGAGCCACCCAGGTGCCCCTCTAACATAACATTTTGCCACATGTGTTTCCCTTCCCTTGACTTAAAACCTAGAAATCTTTGGAACAAAACTATAGCCTGTGGGTCAGTCTGAGTTTTATTGGCACACTGCCACACTCATTTGTCAAGGATTGTCAGTAGGCTGCTTTCACAGTACAGCAGCAGTGGAATGGAATATTGCAATAGATTGTATGTCTTGTACAGCTGACTGTACTTGCTCTCTGGCCCTTTATAGGAAAAATCAGCCTGCCCCTGCTGGAATATGTTTTAGCCTAGCAGTTTTGATCTTGTCTACATCAGAGTTTTGTTTTTACTGCATGCCCATCACAGGAACTTTTTTTTTTTTTTTTTTTTAAGATTTCATTCATTTATTTGACAGAGCGAGAGCTCAAGCAGGGGGAGCGGCACGCAGAGGGAGAGGGAGAAGCAAGGAGCCAGATGCGGGGCTGGATCCCAGGACCCTGGGATCATGCCCCGGGCCCAAGGCAGATGCTTAACCTACTGAGCCACCCAGGCGCCCCTCACAGGAACGTTTTATTTTTTAAAAAAGATTTGATTGATTGGGGGGGCTAGGTGCACAGGGAGAGGGAGAGAGAATCTTAAGCAGGCTTCATGCTCAGTGCAGAGCCCAGTGTGGGGCTTGATCTCACGACCCTGAGGTCATGATCTGAGCCGAAACCAAGAGATGGATGCCTAACTGAGCCGCCCAGGCACCCCCACAGGAACATTTCAAATTCACAAGTCCATCCACCCTCTTCTAACCATCAGCACCATGATGTAAACCGTATGTAACAATGGAACTTTTTACTGTGCCTGAGTTGGTCATCCCTCCAGCTTCTGGCAGCTTTTGTAGGAAAAGATGGTGCAGAATTCTCAGTACCCCTAATTTAATGGGCCTGCTGATTGGTTTCTAAAGCAAAAGGACAGGAATTCTGATTGGCAGTGTTGTGATCTGCTGGGCCTGGCTCCCGGTCCTCCTGGCTTCGAGGTCCGTGTGGGCCTGGTGCCCCCCACCCCACCCAGGAAACAGAGAATTTGAGTGTGTCTATACTCCCCTAGCAGGAAGGTGGCTCATCTCCACCTTGGGTCCCCTGGCTTGAGGCAGGCTGCAGGGCCGAGTCTGAGGTAATGGGCCCCTGCTTGGCAGGTCTGAGGGGCGGGAGTCAGGGCTCTTACAAGCCGCTCGAAGGAGGATTAAGTCTTCTGAGAGCTGCCTCAGCGCACAGCCACTGGCCAGGCTCCAGACCGTGAGGTCTGGCTGATGACACGAGTGCTGTTCTCACCAGCTGCCTGAGCTGGTCAGATGGAAAAGTAATCCTGTTTGTGCTTCCCCACTGACACACATGCACAGTGAAATGGGCTGTGGCCATGAATGGTAATAGCTTCTGCTCTGGGACCAGGAGGGAATGGACCTTCTGATATTAGTGTTCCATAACTAGCGTAACCATTTCAAGAAAGAGGTTCCTAGGACAGGATAAGATTTGCTGCAAATTGGTACTGAGAAATTGCCCAATTTTTACCAAAGTCAGGATCCTCCAAACCCTTCTTTTTATCTCTGGGTAGAATCTTGCACTTCCGCCAAGTGATTCTCTATAGGAGAACCTTGCAGTGGTGGGGAGGTGCCTTCCTTTGAAGGTTGTGTGTAACTGTGAACTTGTAATTTCATGAGGGGCCAGGGTCAGCTGGCATTGGCTAGCATTTTGCTTGGCATGAAACAGGTTCAAGGCACAGCTCTTTGTGGCGCTTACTGTGTGGGAAACATAAATAACAACTTGGACTCCGTTCCCCACAAATCTGTCCCCATGGCATCAGCAGGGAAGTATGTTTCAGATTTCGCCTAGGATGTGGGCCGAGACACTATAAACAGACAAACAGATGGCCAGGTGCTGTGAGAGTTATCTTGGCTCTGATTTGTTTCTGGGGGTGAAATTCTTTGGAAACACCACTTCTGGAAATCTGACTTGAGACCCAGCTTGAGGGTCACATGGCATTCAGCTGCTTCTGCAGAGAGGGTAGGGCAGGCCTGCTGATTAATACATGCTAGAATGTGGAAGTAGGGTGCCCTTGGGCAAACCAGTCCTACCAGGCCCAGCAGTGCTAGTTGACTGGGCCTCTGCCTCTGTGCTTAGTGAGCAGAGGCAGCTGTGGAGCAGAGTACTTGAGATACATGCAGCCCTGGTGACCTCCAGCTGACTGACCAGGCCACCATCCACTCTCCTGTGTTACCACAGGGATGAAGATGATATTGCCAGTTGCCTTGTAGGGTTGCTGTGAGAATTAGCTAAGCAGGTATGGCTCAAGTGCCCAAGAGAGCACTGGCCCAGGATGTGGCAGGTACGTACTGACGAGCTTGCCTAGGCCCTGGCGCAGGTGAGTGTGGTGATGGCTTGTGCAGAGTTGGTCACAGTATTTCATTGGAGAATTCATAAGGCCTTCAGTTAACCTGCACTGATCCTGTTTTCCCTGGTGTCTTGCTGTTGTGTCACATGAGGGTGAACATGACAAAGTGGAGGTGGGGGCCCGTCCAGGACTTCAGTTGGAGCTACAAGTACACAGTCTGTTTGGCCACAACCCACTAGGTTTACTCAGCCTCTTGCGATGGTCAGAACTAGGGCCAGATATCCAGAAATCAGCTTTTTTCCGGGCACTTCTTTATGGCCTTTCTCTTCTCTTGGTTGTCCTCAAAGTCCCAGATCCAAGCCTACCCATGTCTGTTTCTCTCTGTCTTGCCTCCTAATCTCCAGGAAACAAAACTTGCTTTCTGTTAATTTGAAAAACGTTATAGTTGTGTTGTTTGCCAAATACTGTCTGTCCTTAAAATTTTCTCAGATCTTTTAGAGGAGTTGGGATTTTAGCAGACAGTAGCTCTGAAAGCAGGAATGTTTAATCAGGGGTCTACTTAGGAAAAGAATTTGCATTTTTATGTTCATTGACTCAGAGGTTCCCAGACTTTCTGGTTCATAGCATTCTCAGCATCTCTATTTTTCATGATGTTCCCAGGCCAAAGGAAATACCTAACAGGTAGTTTAGATACAAACAATTGTGAAGAAGTACTAATGTCCCAACAACTGTACAGCTGTTTTGAAGACATAAAACACATAAATTGAAAGGGAAAATATTACACCCTTTCATAATCCCAAGTACTCCCTAATGGTAGTACCTTAGAGTACCTTAGATACTAAGTACCTAAGTACCTAGGTACTTAGAGTACCTTAGAGTCAGGTCCGATACCTGCTGTTCCATATTGGGTTTTATGTGGTATTTGCTTTTTAAAAAAGATTTTATTTCCTTTTAGAGAAAGAGCGGTGGGGAGGGGCAGAGAGAGTCTTAAGCAGACTCTGGGCTGTGTGCAGAGCCCAACGTGGGGCTTGATCCCACAACCCTGAGATCACAACCTGAGCCTAAATCAAGAGTCTGACGCTTAACCGACTGCATCACCCAGGCGCCCCTGTGGTATTTGCTTTTCGTTACGGCATTTGCCGAATGCCAAGCTTTGCGAGATGTAACATTGTCAGAAGGCATATAATGCAATCTGTTGAAATTATCGATTGCCTTGGACCTATAATTCTATAGTACCCCTCTGAGGTACCATGACACCCTTGGCACTCAATCTGGGGACCAGGGCACTAACCGTCTAATCTCTCTTCATCTTTTTCTTTTTCCTTAAATTGGGAAATTGTTGTAGGATATCTGTTGGGAATAGATCCAGGAATAGGACACCCAGTTGAATCATGCAGCCTTTGGGTTGGAAACAATAGGTGGAATTCTCTTCCTGTCCCTTGTCCTTCAACTAACTCAACACAGTGAATGGTGGCTCCTGCCTCTTGGTCACAGGTCAGTATGAAAACAGACAAACCATTTTAGTATCTTTTAGACTTAAAACTTTGCTTGAAGATGATGTCTACCGTATCATAGGAATCCTCCATTCTTAACATGCGCAGGTAGGTTTATGAGTTTCTGAGCTTTCAGTTTGTCTCTCCCCCATTTAGCCTTGGTGCTGAGCCATTGATTTACCCTGTCCCTGTGCATCCCCTCTTGGGTTCTCTGTCTTTTGCATCTGTAAACTGCACTGGTGTAAGTGTAGTTGAAAATGAAACATCAGGCAGGAATGGGATTCTTCTATTTTATCTACGTATTTTGAATGACCCTGGAATCTGTCCCTCATGCCCCATCCAAACACAACCCCGCCTTTGCTCCTCCCACTATATTCTCTACTCTGAGTCAAGGACACATGAAGGACAAAAGGTCATGTGAGTATGGTCACATGACCCCCTGTGCTTTTTGGGGCCCCCCCCCAAGCTCCTCAAATGCTTTGGTATCTCCCCTGCCTCCAGACCTGTGTCTTTGTTATTGCATTGGTCCTGCCTTCTTTTACAAGCCTGGTCCCTTTCTGTCGCTCTCTGCCTCAGCCACCACAGGAGCGCACACCCTCCCTGTCCTTGGCCAGAGCAGCCCAGCCCTTTTCCTTACGGTACTTGCCCAAGTATTGCTTAATCACTGGAAGAATGTCATGTTGACCGCAGAGTCCTGGGCCTGGCACGTAGTTGACACGGGATGCATTGGCTGAGCAAGTGAGAGTCTGGCAGTCACCACGTTTTTTCTTTGTGAGAGTGCAAGCTACTTTCCTTTTCCAAAGCTTCAAGATTGATCTACTATTAATAGAATCCCCAGGGTGATGTTCGTATGTGGTCAGTGTAAGGTGTCTTCTGTACCTGAATCTTTCACTGAGCACTTGCTTTGTATTTTTTTTTTTTTTTAAAGATTTTATTTATTTATTTGACAGAGAGAGA